GTACTATTGATCTGTAACGATCACTCTACTCCTTGCCTCGTTCCCCTCTGTCGCCGCCCTTGCATCAATCACCCACCCTTTTTCACCTGCCTTGCTGCCTCGCCAGGTGTCCGTAGTCTCCCGTCTTGCTGCACCCATCCTCCCTGTTTCGCCTCCTGTTGGCGATGCCCTTGCTATGGTGCAAGGGGTGCTCTGTTGTGAGGCTTTGGGTGATTTAGTGAAGGGTGCCTTTGATTGCATTTTTGGAGGGTTACTTCAAGTGTTCTTCCACCCCCCCCCCAACTGCCCGGCCTCCCCCCACCCCCCTTCTCTCTCTCTCTCACACACACACTTTTCCTTTTTTGTGACTGTAGAGGTGACGTGAGTTTTCTGTCACTTCAAGAATCGCAAAGTGGATCGTAACTTGTGCTGGTTGTGCAGGGGTGATTCCTTGTATACGGTATGTCTGTTGGCTTTTACCTTTATATTTTATTTTTGTATTTTTTATTTTATTTTTTTTGGGAACATGCTCCAATCTATTCTTGGGGAGCGGCACGTGCTGGGAACGGGGCCCAGCGTCGTCCCTACTTGAGACGGGATGGAAACTAAATTGAGGGGCGTGTGCTTGTGTGATGGGATTTGTGTTTTTGCAGCTGCGTGCTCGCCTGTTCTGCTTCCATCTCGACTTGTCCAGGTACTTAACCTGAACATCGATGATCCATTCACCGGTGGAAGGTCGCCACAACGGTCACCTCGTACTCCAGTGAACCAAGCCGGTGAGCTCTCACCCACCTGTGTCTCTCTCACTACCACTAATCTCTCTGTCCAATTGCGACTCTTATGTGAGGAAGATGGCTGCAGTGGTCACCTTGTGCGACCATGACGACAGTCGTAAGACTGAACCTACAGGGAAGCTTTGGTGGTCCTCTATGGGTTTTTTTTTTTTTGTTTGTGTGTGTGTGCGTGCAATGAGGGGCGTCGATGTGTGTATAGTATGTGTGCGCATGTGTGCATGTGCATGTGTGTGTGTGTGTGTGTGTGTGTGTGCAATGAGGCGCATCGATGTGTGTATAGTATGTGTGTGCGTGTGTGCATGTGAGTGCGCTATCGAGGATGGGGGAAGGGACTTGTGTCTGTGCGTGATCCCGCTCTCTTAGCCCATACGTGCACAAAATTTATCGCTTTTCCAGAAGTGCCTTGCCTTGTCGAGCAAATTTCCGACCACCTTCAGAGGTGGTTGCAGATTACTTCTTGTGTCCTGGGATTTCTGGAAGAAGAAAAAAAGAAAGTGGATTGCGGAACTGAAAAATGGAAAAAAGAGTTGTACGTACGCTTTATTTGCACAATGTCCCTGCTGTGGCCCTTAGAAAAAAGACCCCATCCTTGTGACCTACTTGCCCACCAGAACGCAAACCTCCCACCATATTCGCCGGAATAGAATGCGTGCAGTCATCTTTGCTGCATATGGACTGAAACGTCCACCATATACAGCGCTAATGACTGGGTGTTCCATTCAAGTGAAGACGGTGGACGTTGGCAAAGAAAGAGCCTTGTGGGAGGGAGTCTATGCCGTTATTCTCTCCCCCCTCCCTTCCTCTTGCTTTGTATGCCCATGTGGTCTGTCGCAATTTG